CTGTTCCTACAGAGCTGGTCCTGCTGGGCTTCTACAGGGAACACGGCCTCACGCCACGGCCGGGCTTCTACAGGGAACACGGCCTCACGCCACGGCCGGGCTTCTACAGGGAACACGGCCTCACACCACGGCCGCAGAGAGGGGCTTGGAAACCTCAGCTCTCATACTGATACATAAAGTGCTGGCACTACTGAGCAGAGAATATTTTGCCTTTAGAAGACAGACCATTCCAAAGGAGATGTTCAACCACAAGCCCCGCCCACCCACATACCAGACTCCACCCTCACGCAAAGCCCCACCCCCAGACCCACCTTCCTCAGGCGGCCCTGCTTCAGGTCCACCTTGAGCTGCTGGTTCTGCTGCAGCAGGGTGCGCATGCTGTTCCTCAGCTCCCCCACCTTGGCCTGTAGCATGAACTTGTCCTTCCTGGTGCTGCCCAGCTCTTCTTGTACCACCTCCAGCTCAGCCCTGATACCCTGGAGATAGCCACACCGTCATCACTCGCCTCTACAACACTCATTTAACCATCATTCATCGCGGACATGTCCTCGTTCAGACGGTAAGTGTGGAATTCTACACTTCATTTAATCAAAGTGAAGTTAATGTTTCATAACTCCAGTGCTCATCCTAGATGTCTGCCTTGGCGAACTGAATCTGGATGTGTCGATGTGCCCAACGAGGTGAATTGTAAATGAAAGAAAGAAAAAAAAAAAAAAAACAACTCATCCAGCTTTGGAGTTAAAAGGTCAACAATGCAGAATTGGGAAGCTTCACGCAGTGCTTGTGAATCCCGGAGAGGCAGCTCCACTCACCTGCAGGGAGCTCTGCAGGTTCTCCAGTTCCCTCTGGCTGCACTGCTCTGTCAGCTCCAGCTGCTGCTTTTGGGCTTCGATCTCCCGTTGCTTCTGCTCCACCTCCCATTTCAGGTCCTCCACCTGCAGGGAGAAGGCCCCGTGTCAGGCCCCTGGCCTCGTATGGCACCCAGAGTCCTATCTTCAGCCCCGTCCCTACCTCCTGGTTGGCAAGAGGCTGCTTGCTGAGCTGTTCCTCCAACTGCTTCTGTAGGACCTGCAGCTGGACGTGGGCCTGGGCCAGCTCCTCCTGGAAGCAGGACACCTCCTGTGAGTGCCTGTCGTCCTGGCTCCTAAACAGAATAATAATAATAACAAAAGTTAAAGCTCCCTCATATGGCCCAAACCATTCTGAGAGTGCGTGGAGGTAACTGGGACTGTGCCACACTCACTGTAGCTGTTCCGCTTCAAGCCGCAGGGTACTGATCAGCTCCTCTTTGGCCTGCAGGTCCTTCTTGATCTCCGCCAGCTCCAGCATGGCTGCCCTGTAGTGTCTTCGGTTGTGGGCAGCCTCTGCTTTGGCTGCAGCCAGCTGCAGGAACAGAGAGGACATGCTGTGCCCAGACCTCCCTCGATACGCAAACAGGGCACCCGCCACTCCAACACAACTGACCAGAAGCATCTGCGGGAGTGTTCACTTATTTATTTAACCGTCATGAGGTAAAACTGCCTTAAGACTCTCCCAAGCCAGACGTGACATTAATTAAGCGCGTTTAATCACTGACTCTCTGGTGTGAGTGAGTAGCTGCTGACCATGTTCTCCCCACCTGCTCTTTGAGATCTTGAACTTTGACCTTCTCCTTTTCCAAAGCAGTTTGTAGTGACTGGATCAGCTGCCTCATCTGCTCGTCCTCCTCCTCCTTACGTTTCAAAACAGCTTGGACCTTCCAAGGGAATAAAAAAAACATTTAAACCATTTTTAAACAGTAATTAGTGAAGAAAAACATGCCTAGACTACCAGCAGAAGAACTCTAGTGTGGCCAGAGAAATCACCTGTAGGTTGAGCTGGACCAGGTCTGCTTCCCTTTTGGCCAGGGCCGTCTCCAGGATGTTGGCGTGCTCTCGCAGGGCATTATGGGATTGCCCCAGCCCTGCCAACTTCCCCTTCTCGTGTTCCAACTCCAGAGACAGCTTCTTATTGACCTCCTCCAGACGCCGCATCCTTTTCTTAAAGCACCTGGACTCCTGCAGCTATAAACAGACAGTATTTGACCAAAGGCCAATTTGCATCAGGCACGCTCCTCACCATTGGCTCCCATGCCCAGGGTTTCACCTCGTCCTCCAGCTCCAGGACTTTCTCCTGGTACTCCTCCAACTCTGTGCTAGTGAGAGTGATGACCTCCTGCAGCTCCTTCTCCAATGCTGCCTTGCTGTGGTTGACTGTCTGAAGTTCGGACTGAAGGGAGTCTATTTTCTCCTGGAAAAGTTGGGAGGCATCACCGTCATAAAGCTGCCTTCAAAATGGTTCGGAGGTACCATCTGCTGCTTCGAAATGCCTACCTGTAAGGCCTGGTTGTTACCCCCATCTGAGACCTGGGCCTTGAGTTTGTTTAGCTCCGCCTCTGCAGCCTCTTTATCGGTAAGCGCCTCTTGCAGGCGGCGGCTCAGGATGCCCACCGCCGTCTCATAGGCCTTGTGCTTGGTCTTCATGTCCTTCTGGGCGCTGGTCAAGTCCGTTCCCAGCTTCTTCATCCTCACCTTCTGTTCAGAGATGGCCCTGAGGGCACAAGAAGCCATGGGACGTTGATCAGGTCCAGACACACACAAGAAGGTCCCCCACGTGTGACAGTCCGGCCTGTGCACAGCATCAAGGGGTAGCCATGGACACCACCATCCCTGCGTTCTCACTTTTTGGCTTCTTGCTGCATCTGTTCCACTTGGCTCCTCAGCTCCTGGTTCTCCTCCGTCACAGTGGCCAGCTGGTTTCGATCCAGCTGCAGCGACTGTCAACAGACCGGTACTTCGGTCAGCAAGGAAACCCCAACTGAGGTCTCAGAGTTTCTGCTCGAACAACCATTGGCATGCACAGAGATGGTGCACCACCGGGCCTAACGCCTAGTAAGACTCAGGAACTGGGCCTGCCATTGTGACTACATGGCAGGTTAATACCCCCCCAGGGAAGAAAACTAAGGGAACAGAACTTCCGATGTTAGATGAAATCCATCTATTTAATCACTGAACCACTGATCAATCTCAATGGTTTAGGGCCAGGTGGCACAGCCCTCAATGCCCACCATCTCCTGGCTCAGCCTGGGCCACTTTGCCGGGACGCCTACCTGAATCTGAGCCTCAAGCTGGTCTCGCTCGCCCTGGATGGCCTGCAGATGTCCCTCCAGGCTGCTCATCTGCTCCTGGACACGGGAAGCCTCGGCCTTCAGCCTCTGCAGCTCCAGCTCGGCCGCTGCCTTCTCCCCCTGGGCACTGAGCACCTCCTGCTTCAGCTCCTTCACCTCGGCCAGCAGCCTCTTCTTGGAGGTTTTCAGCTCGCTGATCAGCTGGTCTTTGGAGGTGGCGTCCCTGCGGTAGGCTTCCACCATCACCTGCGGGGTACGCGAGGAGTGGCGTCTGAGTGCCGCCCATGCGGAGGATCTCGGGATGGAGTGGCGTGGGCCGCATACCTTCTGCTGCGTGTATTGTTCCTTCAGCTTCTGGGCCTGCTTCTTCAGAACGCCGTTCTCCTTCTGCATGCTTTCCACCTTGAGGATGAGCGGGGAGACGGTCACGTCGGTGACACCCCCGGCTCGCCCCCCTGCAGATGTACGGACCGGCCGCCGCTCTCACCTGAGAAGCCCTGACCTGAACTTCCTGTCGGAGCTGATCCAACACATCGGCGGCCACCAGCACGCCCTCGCCCAGCCTCTGCGCTCCCTCATCCAGCTCGCCCTTGTCGGCCCGCGCCGCCTGCAGCGCCACCTCCAGGACGATCTTCTCATTCTGCAGGAACTGGATGGCATCCTCCTTGGCAGTAGAGTCCTCCTGCAGCTCGGCCAGCTGGGCCTCCAGTTCCAGGTAGCGGGCCTCCAGCTGGTCCAGGGAGCGCTCTTTGGTCTGGAGGCTTTCCTGGGTGCTGGTCAGCTGCCTCATCAGCTCCAGGTGCTCCTTCTGCAGGGCCTCCAGCTGCACATCCTTCTGGGACAGCGTCAGCTTCACCTGCACGCATCAGCAACGTCAGCGCAGCCCAGCAGTCGCCTAAGCAACATGAAGCTACAGGGATCTAACAGCCTGAAAGGGCTCATTGTGTCGGGAGAGCAGCTGGCTTCATGCTTCTGCCGATTTTAAAAGCGAATTATTTTTAATAGCTCAACTTCTCCACGGTCATCATCATTCATTTATTTAGTGTTCTGTTCACCCTGTTGATGACTGGGTGACGATGAACCAGCTGGTAACAGGGTGATCCATCACTCGATTTCTTTGGAACCGTGGATCACTTCTGATCACCCGGAATCACCCCCGATCACCCGGAATCACCCCCACCCCCCGAATCACCCGGGATCCAGACCAACGCGGCCGACTTACTTGCTCCAGCTCCCGCTCCAGGGAAGTGGCTGAGCTGGCCAGTTTCTGCAGGTGTTCCCGCTCGTCCTCGAATTCCTCGAGCTTGTGTTGGAGGTCATCTTCCACCATGGACTTGGCATCCTGGATTTGCATGAAGGCGGCCTCTTGGTCCATCATGTCGGCCTGAAGCCAAACAGGGTGAGAGTCGTTCGGGGGTGCTGGGACAGGGTGGGTGGGGTTGTGTTGGGTGTGGGTGGGATCTGACCTCGATGCTCTGGAGCTGAGCGGCGATGCGCTCCTTCTCCTTGATGGAACGGTGCTGTGTCTCTGTCAGCTGGTGGGACAGGCTCACATTCTCTAGCTTCAGGTGCTCCAGCTCTCCAGCCTGTGTCATTTTCCCCGCCTGCGTATAACCAAAGACACAGAACTCCCTCCAGCAGTGTCCGCGACGTCCCGTGAATATACACGACTTCCATTCGACAGGATCGAGCTTCAGGAACGTCTTGCACGCACCTGCATGTTGGCCATCTCGCTCTGCAGCCGCACCCGGGCCTCCTGCGCCATGGCCAGCTGCTGCTGGTACCACTGGCGGACCTGCTGCAGGGAGGCGATCTCAGCCTGCGAGGCCTTCAGCTTGCTCTGCAGGCTGCTCCGCTCCAGCTGGACCTGCTGGAGTTGGCTCTGCAGGCTGCCCATCTGCTGACGCAGGTCCTGGACTGCACCGGAGACCCAGGTTAAGCCCCTGCAGCCGTGCGTAAACCCCCTGGGAGAACCTCCTGCTTCGGAGGAGGAGATACATACCCGACTTGTCCCTGGACGCCACCATCTGCTGCATCTCCTCCAGCTTTCCCATGAGCCTCTGGTACTGCTCCTCTGCCACCTGCAGGTCATTGGCCAGCGACGCCAGGCTGCTGTTCTTACTCTCCAGGTTACCCTGGAGCTCCACCATGGCCCGCTCCAGCTGGAAGCAGCCCTGCCGCAGTGCCCCCACCTCCGAGCTGAGGGAGCTCTGCTTCTCCTGGCTGGCTTGGGACAGCTCCGCCTGGGCCTGCAGCTGGGCACTGAGGGCAGCCAGCTGGGCCTGGAGCTCAGTCTTCTCCTTGAGGGCCTGGGGGGGCAGGGGGCCGTCAGGGGAACATGCAGACTGGCCCTGTGAACTGGGGGAGCGCCGGTGGACAGACTCTCACCTGGTTGGCCTCTGAAGACAGGCTCTCCAGCTGGCCCTCCAAGCGCATCTTCTCCTTCAGAACCTGCAGCATCTCGTCATGGCCACCCATCACGGAGCTTCCCATCGACACGCTGTAGAGGGCACAGGGATGCTCAGACGGCGCCCCCCCACGGGCCAGGCCGCCTCCCCCCCCCACCCCGACCAGCCGCCACGCACCTGCTGGAGAAGCTGTCCCTGCGGCTGCGTGGCTCCCCGTCAACCTCCGACTCGCGCTCCTGCAGCCGCTGCTCCTCCTCCGCGGCATGTAACACCTCCCTCAGGGACGGGAAGCGGCCCACCTCCTCGGGAGCCAACTCCTGGCCGTTTACAGTGTATGGCGCCCCCTGGGGCACCGTGTAGGCCCCCGCGATCGACATGCTGCTGTAGGACGAGCTATCGCTGTCGTTGCCGTCTGGCCGGGCCACGTCCACTTCATAAGTCTCTGACGCAGTGCTGACCTCCGACACTGTGGACGACACGCTCCTGGTGGACTGCAGGGAGCTGCAGGAGGTGTCTGCCACCCCACCTCCCGCGCCCGTCTCCCCACCTCCCGCTGCCTCGGGGCTCCTGTAGTCGGCCAGTGAATGGATCCTGCTGGAGTGCGGGGCCTTCCTCGGTGCCGCCTTGCGCTCGCGGGGGGCTGGGATGCCCAGGCTGCCCAACTTGGGGCCCCGTGGAACGCTGGTCCGCAGAAAGGAGTACTCCTTGGTCATGGAGACGGTGCTGGCTCGGGGGAGACTCTCGGGGTGCAGCATCAGCTCCGGGTCCAGAGTGCTGGAGGTCCGGCTTCTGGGTGTGGAGTGGCGAGACTGGAGGGAGAAGCGTCTTTCAGTTTAGGACTCGCCCCGCCCACACACGCCCCGCCCCCACACACGCCCCGCCCACACACGCCCCACCCACATCCACCCCTCCCTACTGACTGATCCACTCACCCGCTCCTGATGCCTCTTCACCCTGTACTGCTTCAGCTGCTCCTCTAGGCGACGCCGGGCAGCCAGGCGGATCTGCTCCTCGCTCTCAAGCTCTAAGGAGGGCTCCACAGTGGCTATGGGGAGAGGGACTTTAAAATCGGGCAGAGCCAATGGGGATGCGGCGGGCAGTTTGGTGGGCAGGAGGCAAGGTCCTTCAAGCTGCCGCCCAGACTCCAAGTGAGGCACACAGACCCCCCGCCCCACCCCCCCACTTACATAACTAATCACTGAAAGACTAACTGTTAAAGGCCTCCCCCACATTTCATGAGCGGTGTGCAGCTTGAATGACAGCACAGACTCCGAACTGCCTGGCTTTGGGCACATGCAGCCAGCATGGGCACAGCAAAGAGACACACACCCCCAGCACCACACATGCAGCCAGCATGGGCACAGCAAAGAGACACACACCCCCAGCACCACACATGCAGCCAGC